CAGGGATGAGATTGAGTACCTGAAATATGAAGAAGTTCTTCACCTTGATCATCAGCCAACAGGTGAGGCACAAACTTTGGTTAACTCGGTGTGCGAATTTAATCGGTCATTTCCGGGGGGCATTTTAAGTTGTTTTTGCCAAGCTAACTAACCGTCATCTATCTTAAAGATATGTTGAACAAAAACTAATACTTGCTATATTGTAATATATTTACGAAATCTATAGCAAAGTGATAAATAATGACTGAACGTCCCTTTTTCGATGTACCGTCCAGCGTAAAGCGTTCACGTACGCACTGTTGCTATAGTAACCTCCCTTAAAGCTACTTAGCTAGCGCACTCTGACTAACCTATACGCTAAACTTACTTTAGTTGTAACTTACAAGTTTTAAATCGTAAATGTACGTATTTAAAACATAACGTAAAGAACTACAACATTTTGTTTTGACTCCCAGTAGTTCACTCTCATAGTTTGAATGAGGGTGGACTTGGACAGTTGTTTTTCTCCCCTATAATTTAACTCAAATTTTGGTGTCTAATTGGTGTCTTTGTTGTCTCAGAATTTAGTTTGAGGTGGTCAATTTAGAAATGGGGGGTTGTGGGGGGGTGAATGTAAGTTTAAGACTTGTTTATTGAAAAATCTTTCCTAAATTGAAAATTTGAAAGACATGAACATACAGTAATTCAATAATGACAATTGAGTGTTTCTCAAAGCGCAATCTCTCCTTCGCAGATGCAGATGGCTCCATCACTCTCAGTCCTGAAAACAGATACGAGTTCATGTTCGGGTTTGAACTTCCACAGTCAGGGTGGGTTTCATTTCAAAATTCCCCTTTACATTGTTATTGCATTCAAATAATTTAGCCACAATTTTAATGTAAGATCTGCCCCTCCCGAACAGGTGCCTTGTTTCCTCCTATGTGGGGAAGTTTGGCTCAGTCCGATACTACGTGAAGGCCGTCATAGAGAAATCAGGCCATCAGTATGCGGAATGCAAGCGATATTTCGAGGTGGAGGAACCCATTGACGTCAACACCCAAGAGCTCATGGTGATTAAGTCCAGACAGTTCACACACATTTCTGTGAAATGGATGTGATTAAAACGTGAGAGAGTAATTCAGCCCTTTGTGCTTCCTCTCAGGCCCCAGTTACAGGAGCAAAACAGAAGAAAGTCACCTGCATGTTTATTCCCGACGGCAGCGTTTCCGTGGCCGCTCGCGTAGGCCGGAAGGGTTACGGTGAAGGAGAAGACATATGCATCGATGCTCAGTTTGAGAACTCCTGCTCTCGGATCGTCGTTCCTAAAGCCGCCATCATTGCCAAGCACATTTACCGGGCAAACGGCCGCACCAAAGAGTTTCACGAGAAGCTCACTTCTGTCAGGGGAGACCACATCGTCTCTGGCATGTGTGACGTGTGGCAGGGGAGAGTGCTTCGTGTGCCAAAGCTGAAGCCAACTATCCTGGGCTGTGACATTATCCACGTTGACTATTGTCTGAGGGTGAGTTATATTCTTGATAATCAATGCAGATGCTTTGGACTCCACCTGCGGATCTGAGCTTACACTTTGAAAAATAAACGTTTTTTATTGTCATTGATGGTTCCATGAAGAACCTTTACCATCCTTTCCATTGCACAACACATTCTTTAATGTGGAAAAAGTTTCTAAATGTTCTTCACACTGTTCACTGAAAGGTTCTTTGGGGAACCTAAAATAGTTCACTGCAAAAACCTCCTTTTGGAATCTTAATTTTTAAAGAGTGTATGTCATCTCTTTCTCCCCTGGCTCAGATCTACTTGCATATCCCAGGAAGTGAGAAGCTCATCTTAGATCTTCCTCTGGTCATCGGGACGATCCCCTACAATGGCATGAACAGTCGCACCAGCAGCATGAGCAGCCAGGACGACAGTGGCACCTCCAGCACCTGCGTGTCACTTCCGTCTTCTCCACCTAGCTACAGAGAGATCTCCCGAGACGACCACATTGAGAGTTCCTTCATTCCTCTCCTAGATGATTATGACGAGGATGACAGTCCTATATTCATGCGCATTCATGCGCTCCCCCCTCCCCCAGCATACACTGAGGTACACATGCACATATAAATAGACATATATAAACATAGCCTCAACCATAGTTGAGATTGCACTAAGGATTGTGTCTGTCTTTCTTCTGATTAAACAGCAAAACTAAGACTGCATCGGAAGTGGAGTTCTCCTTCAAAAGAGACTCCAACGGAAGATCAAATGCAGGGAGATTCAGATTTCAGATCTCAGAATGACACTGCTAATGGACTATGCATGCTTGACTTCAGAGTTGCGGACTATGAAATGCTATGTCACGCCAAGAACTGGTTGATTGCAAGTCGGTGAAGTCGTCTGAAGCTGGACTGTTTTGCTGATGTAAGAACCCACCTCTTGAAAATGACCACTGACGTCTTCATGTTTAATTCTGAAGAATCCTCAGAATCTGAGAGAGTTTTTACATTTATGATTTTGCCATATTGGCATAATATTCTGTCTGCACATATTTCAAATTGGAAAGTGTTTGTGGTAGATAAGCCTTCGGATTATAGAGACAATATTTTTGTAATGCACAAAAATTTTATGCAGTTTTGTGAGTGGAAACAATTATATATCATTATGAGTTGTTTGCTGAGCTGTTGGTGTGCTGTGTCTAGTATTACAGTCTTTCCTAGCAGCATGTGTATTTCTAATTTAATATAGAAATTAGAATATGCATATATAGTATATAGTCAGTTTTTAATAGTATATAATTGAGTATTACTGTCAAGTTAATCCACTTTGAAATTTGAAACGGATGGTTATGTGCATTTTGTACTCTTGATTTTTTATTTTAACTTTTTTTTATTTTGAACTTTTAATAACATTACAGAATACAATAAAAATGAAATTATCAATGTAATCAAGTGTCATTTGTATGAGATCTATCTATCTATCTATCTATCTATCTATCTATCTATCTA